GGCTATAATTAGTTGTATTTTTATACGATCTTTTCAACTAAATTTGAAAATTAAAAGCCCAAGAGGAATTTAATTTTATTTTTAGTTTTATTGCTTTTTTTCTTTCTTGACTAACAATTAGACCCCAATTCTACATAAGCAGATCAGCTTGCAAACCCTTGTGTTCATGTGGAGCCCCACTGATTTCAACAGGTGCCCATGTGGATCAGATTGCATGACTGCAGCCTTGTATTGTACATATTTTTTCCCATCCCTCTTCCCTATGACACAGCTTTGTCTCTCTTCCCTCCCTGACCCTCACTTCCTTCATTGTATCTTCATCTTTTCTCTCTGCAATATCTACCACAGTTAAAAAATAAATAAAATAAGAACCACTGTTTCTTTAACTGAAAGGGGGGACATATTCCCAGAAGCACAGATTTCTCATCTTAGACATCTTACATCCTCTGCTCAAAGGTTGGATATAACTCCATCTGTAGTCAATCAATACTAGTTAGCCAAAGGGGACTGAATATAGTTCAAGAGACTGAACTTTGTCCCAACCTAATATCCATCGATATCGAATTCATTCTCTGGAAAGGGCAAAATTACATTTTTAATTATGGTCTATGGTTACAGCTGGAGTTATATATTCCCCTCAACCCATAGCAGATGTCCAGTTGATAACACTGATTGAAGACAGAATATGGCCCTTATATAGCAACTACTAACATAGTTAATGAAGATACTGAGGTATTCAGGATACTTTTAGGATGAACTCCATTTCTTCCATTTACTTTGACATTTATGCATGCAAGCACCCAACTTGCATGTACAATTGCAGTACCTCCATGCACAAATTAGATGTATAAATGCACACCTAAATTATCTGAAATTACAGCATTTAAAACATTATCCATCAGTAAGCTCCAGCATTAATGAGGTGGCTCAGTCCCCTCAATGTTGTTTGACGCTAAAGCCTGATCTACATTACAGAGTTAGGTTGACGCAAGGCAGCTTACATTGACCTAATTATGGAAGGGTCTACATTAAAATTTTGCTCCCGCCAACATAACTGCCCCGCTATACCGACTTAACTCCACCTCCACGAGAGGTGCAGTCAACGTTGATGTAGTTAGATTGATGCAGTCTCACTGTAGACACTGTATTGCTTATAATCAACTGTTTCTGGCTTTCAGAAGCCATTCCACAATGCCCCACGCTGACAGTATATAATCAGTACAAATGCTCCTGGTCAGATCGCACACTGCCAACACAAGGAGCAAAGCGTAGACACACACAAGCAATGTAATTACTGCAGCAGTTGTATGCCGATATAAGTTAGTTTGACTTAATTTTGTAGTATAGGCATAGCCTAAGACAGTACAACACTGCTTCACCTCCAAAGAGTTGTGACCAAACACCAGACAGTTATTGTATGAAATATAAGGATGGAAAACAATTTTTTAAATGAAAACTTTTATTCTAGAGAACACTTATCCAATATCCATGCAGACCAAGTGGGCCGGAAGTTTTATATCTTCATATTAGATTAACAAAAAAGAGTGAGGTAACACTGTTAGTCTCCTCTCTGTGTGTCCTGATTATCTGTCACTTGCAGAACACCCTCAGCAGATGGGAAAGATCATCCCTTTGCCTCTATTTATACAACAGAACATGAAACAAAGAGCATGTTAATTTCATTTTGCTGGTGAGACAGTTCCTGGATTCCCCAGAAAGACACAGAATTACAGTAAATTCAACTAGCTACACAGGTAGTATGTGACAATCTTATGAAGTAATTTGGTTTTCATTTACTTTTATAAAGTGCCATTTGCAAAGGATCACTAATATTAAGTTAATTGAAGTGGGAAGAAACCACTAAACCGAAAAACACAAAAAAGACTTTAAAATGTACTGTAATGTTGCAAAGAAGAAGAAATCACACACAGAAGAGTGACTTGCACCTAAGAAATCCAATTCTTATGCTATATAGTTTCATATTAGTTATATACATGTATTTCATGTTATTGAAATAAGTGTTCAACATCTACATATCAGACCTCAATTCTCTAAAGAGTTACTGAGTTTTATGTATGTGGAGTACTCTCATTGGCTTCTATGGGACCACTTACACGCATACGTGTTTGCACTGTTAGGGTTGCTAAATGAGGGCTGTTCTCACTGCTTATGGCTTCACAACTTGAGTTACGACATTAGCCCGAACCTGAGGATAGTATTCTATCTAAAATACTAAGCCACGGGATATATGCTCCCATATATATGATATCCAAAGATTCCTGTAGTGCTCATCAACATGACATCTAGAGACCAAACACAAGTCAACATCAATACTGTATTTTCAGTCTGATATAGCTTTAAAGAATTTAGACCGGTTTTATATTCACAACGGTGTGATGTCAAGCTATAGTAATACAATATACCTTTACAGAAGTCAAATGTTTTGAAACAATTTTAGTTGCTTAAGTGCTGCAAACAACTATTTTATTAAAATATAAATATGAGCAGTGATGAAACACCAGAGGAAGCCAGATGCATAGGCAAGTGCCTTTTACTGAAAATGCCATGCAACTGACCCTAGATATTCTTACCTCAGGAAATGAAAGTCAGTGCCTCCAAACTGATTTTAGAAGCAACTAGATCACAAAAGCTGAATACAGTAAGATGACAGTAGGTGACGTAAATAGTGGAACATTTTCAATTGGACAATAATACAACCAAACCAAAACAGTACAAAATATATAGTGTTCTCTTTACATCTGGACTGAGAAGTCTGGTGATATGACAAACTGCCTAAGCTCAGATACCCTGGTCTCTTTTGATGATTAAACACTTTATATAATCACAAGTAGGAAATTTCTGTTGTGATTTATAGTATTGAGAGTTTTTTATGGTAATACTTTATGGTACCGTGTTCCAAAACAGTGAATGCACTCAATCACTATTGTTTACAGGATTTAATTAGATGTGTATGATATATTTTTGTGGGGCTATAAAAGTTTGCCACACCATTCTCTGTATTCTTATAAAAACGGCCCTACTCGGTCAGACCAAAGAAAATATCCTTTCTTCCGACAGTGGCCAGTGCCAGGTGCCCCAGAGGGAATGAACAGAACAGGTAATCATCAAGTGATCCATCCCCTGTCACTCATTCCCAGCTTCTGGCAAACAGAGGCTAGGGACACCATTCCTGCCCATCCTGGCTAATAGCCATTGATGGACCTATCCTCCATGAATGTATCTAGTTCTTTTTTGAACCCTGTTATGGTCTTTGCCTTCACAACATCTCTGGCAAGGAGTTCCACAGGTTGACTATGCATTGTGTGAAGAAATACTTCCTTTTATTTGTTTTAAACCTGCTGCCTATTAATTTCATTTGGTGACTCCTAGTTCTTGTGTTATGAGAAGTAGTAAACAACACATCTTTATCTACTTTCTCTACATCAGTCATGACTTTATAGACCTCAATCATATCTCCCCATAGCCGTCTCTTTTCCAAGCTGTAAAGTCCCATTCTTATTAATCTCTCCTCATACGGAACCCGCTCCATACCCCTAATCATTTTTGTTGCCCTTTTCTGAACCTTTTCCAATTCCAATATATCTTTTTTGAGATGGGGCGACCACATTTGCACACAGTATTCAAGATGTGGGCATACCATGGATTTATATAGAGGCAACATGATATTTTCTGTCCTATTGTCCATCTCTTTCTTAATTATTCCCAGCATTCTGTTAGCTTTCTTGACCGCCGCTGCACATTGAGTAGATGTTTTCAGAGAACTATCCACAATGACTCCAAGATCTTTTTCTTGAGTGGTAACAGCTAATTTAGACCATCACTTTATATGTATAGTTGGGATTATGCTTTCCAATGGGCATTACTTTGGATTTATCAACATTAAATTTCATCTGCCATTTTGTTGCCCAGTCACCCAGTTTTGAGAGATCCTTTTGTAGCTCTTCGCAGTCTGCCTGGGTCTTAACTATCTTTAGTAATTTTGTATCATCTGCAAATTTTATGAATATGTTGAATAGGAGTGGTCCCAGAACAGACCCCTGGGGGACACCACTATTTACCTCTCTCCATTCTGAGAGCTGACCATTTATACCTACCCTTTGTTTCCTATCTTTTAACCAGTTACCAATCCACGAGAGCACCTTCCCTCTTATCCTGTGGCAGCTTACTCTGCGTAAGAGCCTTTGGTGAGGGTCCTTGTCAAAGGCTTTCTGAAAATCTAAGTACACTCTATCCACTGGATCCCCTTGGTCTGCGTGCTTGTTAACCACCTCAAAATTTTATCGTATATAAAATGATTGATTATTCAGCTATACATGTATTCATTTATATATGAGTGTCCCAATTATAGCACACATCCTAATTCTGAATATTTGGTAACATGGGTACTTAGTTACATCTGTATGTAGGAATAAAACTGTATCTATTACTTAAGTTACTTAAAACAGGAAAGATGTATAACAAACTCTACTGGAATGAGAATCAAACACCATACATGCACCCACTTTGAAAGATTTGTTCAATTTTCTCTTTTACTCATGATAAACACACACCTACAACTACCTACACCTTTTAAGGCGGTGATAGTCCACTCCGGACTGACCTCAGCTGTTTGGTTGATAGCGTCTCCAAGGGTTGGGGAGACCAGACTTATCCCATGCCTCAGTCACTGGGAAGCTCCCTTACTTAGGCCCTGGCCCGAGTCTTCCCCTTTCCGGGGAGGTAGGATCCGCAGCACCTTACTCCCAGGGATTTGGGGGAGGGCTGAGCTCTTGCAGGCCTGGGGGCTCTTACTCCCGGTGACCCGCAGCCAGAGCTGTGGAGACAGCCGGCCCCGAGGGGCAGGCCCCGGCAGCCCCCGAGTCACTGCGTTCGGGAAGGTTATTGCAGCTGTCAGAGCGCGTCTTCCTCTCCCCGGGAGCGCCAATGTCCCTGCGGGGAGGCAGCGCCCGATCGCCAGGTCTCCACCGGGACCGGCAAGCTGAGTGTGGGGGGAGGCCTGTAGAGCACGGTTGGCTCCGGAGCCAGGAGCCCAGGCGGGCGCCATACTAGAAACTAAAATGGCTGCCCCGGGGAAGAGAGCTCAGCTCGGGCCGTGAGGGGCTGCGCCTCCACCCGCCTCACCGACAAGGGACATCGCCTTGCCGGGCACACCTCGGACAGGTACCGTCCCGCGCAGGCGGCCTCGGGGACTGGCAAGCTCCATTGGCCAGCCCCCCCACCTCTCCCGCACATAGAGCTCGGCCCACTCGCTCCCCGCCCCTGGAGCCCAGCCCCCCGCGCAGCTGGAGCTGGTCCCCCCTGTGGAGCCTACCTGGAGCTCGGCCCGCTCCACCTCCCAGTGCGCCCTCTCCATCTCGAAGCGGGCCCACTCGTGCTGGATGTAGTGCAGGATCCCCGGGATGGTGTAGTGCTGGGGTCGGGACAGCTCCGCGCGGTCCCCCGCGTCCTGACCCGCCGCGGCCGCCGGGACCTGAGGCTGCTGCCCCCCTCCGCCGCCTCCGGCCCCCACGCAGCCCGCGCCAGGCTGCACATTCATATTCCCCCCTGGCTGCGGCGGCTGCGGTCTCGGAGCGGCCGCCATCCCGCCTCCGACTCCGGGGTGCTCGTCCATTGTCTGCGGGGAGCCCTCCTCCTCCTCGTCCTCCCGCTGCGGGCCTGGGGCAGGGGCGTGGGGAAGCGGCGCTGGCTGGGGGGAGGAGGAGGGGTCGGGACAGGCCCGGGGAGGAGGGGGAAGCTGCGCCGAGCAGTATCCGGGTGTCAGAGCAGCGCCGAGCCGCCGCCGCCGGCCGCCATTACAGTCTCCGATCCATCTCACACCCACCCACTGCGAAGGGGGGAGGAGCAGGGAGCCGCGCGGGGCGTGCCGGGAAACAACCTCCCTCCCAGCCGAGCCAGCTGACGTGCGCATGCGCACCGGAGGTGGCGGGGAGCAGGGGACCTGGGCGGGCGGTGCTGCAGCTGGGGGTGTCTGTTCCCCCCGGACTCGCCCAGAGAGCAGGGGGCCAGGGGCAGCGCCGCTCCAGGCACTGAGTAAGTGACATAACAACAACAGGGGCTGCTGGTGCACAGTCGCTAGGACAGTAGCTGGTGGTGCTGCTCCGTCCGGCCTGATTCAGTGTCAAGTGGTCCCCTGCTCCCACCAGCCCGTGGGGGAGGCTGCGATCCGCTCTGCCCAGGCGTGGCTGGGGTGGGGTTTGTTTAAAAGACGTGCCAGCAGCCTCTTGTGGGGCGGGCGGGGGTCTTCCTGCCCCCCCCAACCACCCACGTGGGCACGGGGCGTCCCTGCGGTTTGTCGGGTTAAAACGGTCTCTGGGCTCGCAGGCTCCGCCAGCCGCAGATTCCTCACATTGCTGTCGCATTCTTCCGATGTTGACAGCCAGTGTCGGGTCTCCAAGCAGGCCCGGTTCCCTCCGGGGTAGGGGAGGCTCTGGCTTTACCGTTCCTCCTCACCTTCCTGTTTTGTCACCCAGAGGGGGCGAAAGAACAGATGTATTCAGGCTCGTGTCACATTGAAACGGAGAGCAAAAGAATGAAACTTAAGGCAGGTAAAATTTAGTGCGAGTGCAGGGAAGAAGTTTGTGACAGTACCGGAGTCCCCCTGTAGCCAAGGGAAACAGTGGGAGCTCCTCCACTTGGACTGGTTAAAACGGGAGGGTTAGAGAGACAAAGTGGGTGAGGTAATATCTTTTATTGGACCAGCTTCTGTTGGTGAGGGAGACAAGTTTTCCATCTTACATAGAGCTCTTCTTCAGCTCTGGGACACTTACTCAGTGCCATAGCTAGGGTGACCAAAGGTCCTGATTTTATAGGGACACTCTTGATATTCAGAACTTTGTGTTGTAGAGGCACCTATTACCCCTCACTCCCCCCTCCCAATTTTCCACACTTGCTTTCTGATCACCCTAGTCACGGTTAAATACAGGATGGAACCGATTGTTTAGCATAAGTAATTAATACATATTTTAAGGGACCATTCAAGCTTGTCTCGTTCACCAACAGAAGTTGGTCCAATAAAAGATATTATTTTTCTCTCTAATATCCCAGGACCACCATGGCTTACAACAACACTACCTAAAACTGGACCAGACACAGCTGTAGCAAAGAGTGGCTACATAGCCTTATTGGCCTTCTTTCTTATAAGGAATAATACAAAAGCAAACATGGCCCAAAATATAGGCTGTCTGGAAATAAACTTTTACAAAACAAAAGGGCACTAGAAATGTGATTTTAATAGCAATGGAAACAGGGGTGGTTGGGGGGATGGGACAGCGGGGTAAACAAAAACATACCCTGCTAAATTTGAAACTCACACATTGCAGCATTCTGCTAGTATATGAGAACTCAAAACTGAAGTGTACTTGAAACTGACTAGTGACAGAAGTGAAAGTGTGTATTGTATTTCATTCTTAGCTGAATAAAAAAAACTGATTTACTTTTCAGTAATTTTGCAATTATTTCTCTTTTAACAATATAATCTGCTATTTGTTTTGTAAGTAAGGAGATTATTTCTTTTGACTATGCTTTTTAAACTGACAATGAAACTTATATGAAAATTTTACACACCTGCCACATATCATTCATGAAGGGACAAACTGATTTTGAATTAGTTTTAAAGCAACTTTTTAAAATATCTTAATGATGAAAGATTTCTGCAATGTGATTCAATGAGGCAGTTATTTTTTATTTGTCATCTAGTTCATTCAGAACTCTTCACAGTAAGGAAATCTTGAAAAATGTACCTACTTTCTACAACTAGTTCAGTTTCACCAGTGAAATAGCAACATTCAGAGCTTTAGTGTAGGTAAGGCCAAACTGTCACAGCCTCATTGCACTGAAATTCAACAATTATGTTGATTACATAAACCTAAAGGGATTTTAACTATCCCGTCCTACTTGACAACTCATTGCATGTCACCCATAATTAAGCAAGGTAGGGTGTTCCTCCCACCCTCCCTACGTAAACAGTACTTTCTTTAACATTTTCCATCAGTAGATGATCTGGAATTGGATCAGTTGCTCAAACTGGACAGTTTTGTTTTGTTTTTTTAATTTTATCTGTCTGCTTCCCTGCCTGCCTCCTCTGGTCCTCCAGTATTGACCTCCTCTGTCTCACCCTTGATGACTCTTCCTAGTTGGATGTTAAAGTTTCAGTTGTTTTGCTAATTCCTTTCTGGAATGCCCTCCTCAGCCATTGAGTCACTTCCTCTTAAAGCTTCACCTTAAAACCTTCATGGTTGCTTTAGCCTGTGCTAAACCCAGCTCCCCTTTCCATATTAGCAGATTCTTCAGTTCTCCACTGACTGTAATCTGCAAGAACACATATTTGGCCAAGTCAGCCTTTTTCTCTTACTCAACTTCATCTTTATGTGATGTTTTCCCCTTTAAAGTCCCTGGATCAAACTATGTTATCTGTGATATCTTTCTGCATCTCATCATAAAGTATTCTGTTGTACTACATGTGAAGGGCTTAATATATATAAAAAAAAGTATCAACAAGGTAATTTTAAAGAATTAATCTCTGTGTTTAAAACTGAAACGAGGGGAAGACAGTGAGATCTCAAACAAATTTCAATCGTTATCAGTATCTAGGGAAGAGTGGGAAAGATTATTGCTCTTAAAAATATGATTAACTCTTTGGCAATGTCAGTACATAATTTTGAGATCCTGTGGTTTCAGTGTTGTTTCAATAGACATGCAGTGCTCCTTGGTAGTTAAGAAGCTAGGATAAACTTTTTGCTCCTTGCTTCTTCCCTGATTTCCCTAGATTAGTAGGGACTTTTGGGGTTTGGGATTTTCTTGCAAGTACTTGGCTCTCAAGTTGAAGGCCGTGTCTTCTCCACCTAAGGCTACACAGAAGTTACTCCAGCACCACAGGTGTTGTAACTCACATAACAGTAGATGAGGATGGTGACTATGTCAAAAATTACTATTATTGATAAATATTAATAATGATGCATGATGCTTTACAGAGACTTGATAACAAAGTCCTACTCCTGGGTCAGATTCAAGACTTGCAGAAAAAAGGGAGATTTACGTGAGCTCTCCTTCCTCACTGTACACTTTCCTTTCTTTTGGTTATAAGTTCATAGCCACATGGTGTGATTTCTAAAGAGTTCTCAATATAAAGTAATTTGTACGTCAAACTTATTTACTCTCACCATTTCATTTGCTTTTGCCTTCCAGATTCTCACCTTGGCACAAGCCATTTTTTAACCTTTTCCCTTCATCTATTCCCTCTCCCCCCCCCCCCCACCCCCCCCCTGACTCATTCCCTCCCCCTCGTCTAGACCAGTGGTTCTCAAAGCCGGTCCGCCGCTTGTTCAGGGAAAGCCCCTGGTGGGCCCGGCCGGTTTGTTTACCTGCCGCATCCTCAGGTTCGGCCGATTGTGGCTCCCACTGGCCGCGGTTTGCTGCTCCAGGCCAATAGGGGCTGCGGGAAGCGGCGCGGGCCGAGGGATTGGCTTGGAGCGGCGAACCGTGGCCAGTGGGAGCCGCGATCGGCTGAACCTGCGGACACAGCAGGTAAACAAACCCGCCCAGCCCGCCAGGGGCTTTCCCTGAACAAGCGGCGGACCAGCTTTGAGAACCACTGATCTAGACTAGGGGTCGGCAACCTTTCAGAAGTGGTGTGCCAAGTCTTCATTTATTCACTCTAATTTAAGGTTTCGCGTGCCAGTAATACATTTTAACGTTTTAGAAGGTTTCTTTCTATAAGTCTATAATATATAACTAAAATATTGTTGTATGCAAAGTAAATAAGGTTTTTAAAATGTTTAAGAAGCTTCATTTAAAATTAAATTAAAATGCAGAGCCCCCAGACTGGTAGCCAGGACCCGGGCAGTGTGAGTGCCACTGAAAATCAGCTCGCGTGCCGCCTTTGGCACGCGTGCCATAGGTTGCCTACCCCGATCTAGACACTCCTTTATTTCACTTCATACTAGTTCCATTTCCTACCTTTCTCTTGCTGATTTTGTTCCCCAAATCATCATGCATGAGTGTATATGCTCAGAAAGTACATAATGAAAACACAGCCCCTCCAAAACACCATATAACTAAGTATTTTAAAAAATGGGAGGGGGGCAAACCAACAAGATGTGTATTTTGTGACTTGTGCTCCTAAGTGAGTTAGGCACTTTTGTAAATCTCACCCTTAGGCAACTAAATATGGATTTAAGAGCCAAACTTTAGATTTCTATTTTTGAAAAATGTTGGTCTTATTTAGTTATATACATAACAGGTTAATAGGATTTTTTACATACCCGTCATAAACCATGGCAACAATCTCCCATACAGATATCCAGTGTCCACCTATGTAACAGCAATCAACCAGTATGCAAATAGTAAAACACAAGAAGATCTTGGAGAAGAACTGGCAGAGATTCAGAATGTAAATTTGAGGACAATATAGTGTAAGTACAATGGAAAAGGAAATTCTAAAGTGTTGCCCACTTCTCATTACTGTAGTTGCCCACAGCAAAGAGAATAACAGCAAACTATAGAGGTCAAGGAGCACACCAAGTCATTTGGATAACTTATTGTAAATGCAAAATCACACACAAATAAAGGAAGATGAAAACATAGCCCTGGGCAAATTGAGAATTATTTAAATGCCTCAAAATC